CAGGAGAAAAGCCAGAGGGTTGTACCCCTGAGAGGCAGCAGGGAACAAGGGGAAGTCTAGAGATGAGAAATAACTTTGGAGAACAAAGCCGACTGTCATCAGGAGTACCGAGTTTGAGCCAGATTGAAGAATCTATAAATATGGAGGGCGAAAAAGATCTCAGAAATGTTGAAGAATAAGGATTAAGTTCACAAATGCCCACATAAATGGAGATAGCGAAGATGTTCTCAAATTGGAGCATTCCATAAAAAACTAAATGGCCATCTTACATAATGACCTGGGACAAGTGCTATCTCAAGTGGAAGAAACAGATGGAAATTTGGAGAAATATGCGCAAGTGATTATTAACCCTTTGAGCACCAAGGAACGTATTTGTCCCATGTTTCTAATTGCCTGTATCATCTGATTAAGACTTAAAATACTTTTTTTTTTTGGTTTGAGTCAAAATATTAGTTCTTATCAACAAATGGATCTAGCTTTTTGCCAATTATTTCATGAAATGGCTTAGTTACAGCAACTGAAGTGTACGAACTTTAAAAACAAAAAATTGATTCTTTTGGCGTTCCGTAATCTTATGGTCCTCGCTTAAACTGGAAGCGCAGGTGGAGTATATGCGAAAAGAACAAAGGAAGATTGCATATAAATTAGAAGATCAAGAGAATAGAGGTAGAAGGAACAATTTGAGGATGCGGGGCTTGCCAGAAGCGACATCGGGAGAAGATCTACAGGAGGAAATTAGGAAAATATTTAATCCAGTAATTTGAAGATTAGTGACAGAACAACTGAAAATGGATAAAGTGCATAGGATTAGGCGGCCCCCAGGAGTGGCACATGATGCCCCCAGAGATGTGATCATTCACTTTCATCACTATGAAGATAAAGTAAATATCTGGAAGAAGCTACGTGGAACTACAGCAGTGACATGGGGGGAAGTGAGCCTACCAATTTTCACCGACATAGTGCCTGAGACATTGTCCAGAAGAACTTTGAAACCACTATTAGACCTAATGCATAAGAAGAATGTCTGCTATAGTTGGGGTTTTCCAGCATGCTTGATTGGGTGGAAAGGAGGAAGATCAGCGAGACTGAGATTCCCAATAGATCTAAAGGCCTTCTGTGAAAGACCTGATTTACAGACAATAGATATTCCAGGATGGTCTGAAGGGGTTGAGGAGAAGGGAGAATTAAGAAAAGATAAGTAGCAACTAGTACCCAAACAAAGAATATGATGGACTGGCCATGAGTAGCAGTGGGGCTTTCTCTTTCTCCTTTAATTTTTTTTTTTTCTAAGTAGATGTCATAAATAAGATATATAGGTACTGTAGATGGAGTAGGTGGGCAGGTTGTGGAGGGGGAGGGGAGGGGAAAGGAGGGGGAACTGTTTTTTTTTTGTATTCTTCTTCCCCTCTGGTCTCCCTCTTTCCTTTCCTCTTCCTCTTTCTTTGTCTTCTATATTTCAAATAGGGCATCGTGGGCTCAATAAGTCACATACTTTTGTGATTAAGGATTGGAGACAGCGTCCTGAACAGGTGTACATGTCCCGAGTCATGCCCTGAAGAGGAACCGATAGTGGTAATAAACCACATCTGATTCCAGGGCTAGGATATGGGCCAAAAGGTTCAAAAAAGGAGGGAGGCTGGGTGGGATGTTCTAAACATTATCCAATGTGGTATTATGCGGACTCACCAATAAAATGAGCAAAAGGGGTAGCAATTGGGCTAGAAAAAAATTTAAGATTTAGTATGGAAGACAAAATGGTAGATCCGGAAGGCTGGCACTTTTATTTCTGAACGGTAAATTACAAGAAATAGAAGGTACATTAGCAAATATTTATTGCTCTAGTAAGAACTCACTGGTATATCTGGAGGGTCTATTAAGAAAACATTTTGACTATAAAAAAGGACATCTGATTGTGGCAGGAGATTTTAATTTTTGCATGGACCCTTGGATGGACACCTCATCGCTGGTACAGTGGGACGGTGGTAAAAGTCTAAAGTAGGTCAAAAAAGTGTTACATCAATGTCAATTGATGGATTCTTGGAGAATTAAATATCCAAGAGACAGAGACTATACCTTCTTCTCTCCAGCACACGGGATGTATTCAAGATTGAACTATATAATGATAGAACATAGACTCTTGGGGGTTTATTTACTAAAGCTGGAGAGTCCAAAATCAGACTCAGACTCCCTTCTGCATAGAAACCAATCAGCTTCCAGGTTTCATTGCCAAAGCTTCATTGAACAAGCTGAGGTTAGAAGCTGATTGGTTTCTATGCAGAAGGGAGTCTGATTTTGGACTCTCCAGCTTTAGTAAATAAACCCCTTGGAGTCTTTGGTTAATTCCAAAATTGAGGTAATGTCACTATCAGAGCATGCACCTGTCACAATGAGATTAAGATGGGGAAGGAAAGGGAATAGAAGAAGCATGTGGAGATTAAACAAGACACGTATAGAGGAAGCTGAAATGGAGAAAAGGATACAAAGGGAAATAGAGCAATATTTTATACTTAATGAGACTGAAGATGTATCTGTTGCTACAGTCTGGGAAACACATAATGTATATATCAGGGGAATCCTGATCTCAATAGGGGCCAAAAAAAAAAGAGAGGATGGGAAAAGAAAATAAGATTACTAATTGAAGAACTATATGATTTAGAGCAACTATATAAGGAGAAAATAGGAATAGAGATACAACAAAAGATAATTCAAAAAAGAGAAGAGCTAAAATATTTAATGGAACAGGAAAAGAGAAGGGTCTTTAATAGGGTTGCTAGAGATAGATATCAGTGGGGGAATAGACAAGGAAAATACCTAATGAGAAGGTTAAGAGATAGGAAATTGAGAAACTACATAGAGAAAATTAAAGACAAGAAAGGAGAAATGGTATATTCAACCACTGACATCGCTAAAACATTTAAAAAATACTAAAGCAAACTATATAAAATTAAACCTAAAAACCTGATAGAATCAGAGGGAGGAAGAAAGGAAAAAAGGCAGGTATATTTAGAGGAGGGCAGACTACCTAGACTAGAGGAAGAGAGATTAGTAGCCCTAGATAGATCAATATCGCAGGAGGAAATCTATGCAGCATTAAAGATCACAGCTGCAGGAAGGAGCCCTGGACCAGATGGATACAGGTTGAGATTTTATAGGAAATTTAAAGAACAACTTGTACATAAAATGTGTATGTATATGAATGTATTAGGAGAGTGGTTAGAAATGAGAGAGGAGTCATTGCAGGCACATATTACAATTATACTGAAAGATTGGAAAGACCTGTCCCAGTGTGCAGTTATAGACCCATATCATTATTAAATATAGATACAAAATTATATGCAAAGATCTTAGCAAATACGATGAAAGAGCTGATGATGGAGTAGATACATTTAAATTAGGTGGGTTTTATCCCAGGTGGGAAGGAAGGGATAATGGATTTAGATCTTTGCTGCTGTCAGGGCTCCCAGGTATGACCAGAGGTGTGTGACTGAAGCAGGGAAACGCAGACTTCAGATATGTGATTAACAATGTAATTTATTAACACTAACAATACAAACATACTAAACATAATACAGTGCAAACAAACCCAACCAACCACCCACAGATAACAGTACATACAAGCAAGCGTCGTCAGGCAGGCCGAGTCAATATCAATTGGGCAGGTAGGTACAGGGGGAGCAAGCGGAGAATGGTCGGGGTCACAGGCCAGGTTCAGCAGGTAGCAAGCAGCGTAGTACAGAGGGTCAGGCAGAGGGATGGTCATGGTCACAAGCCAGGGATCAGAACAGGTAGCAAGCAGCGTAGTACAGAGGGTCAGGCAGAGGGATGGTCAGGGTCACAAGCCAGGGATCAGAACAGGTAGCAAAGGAACAGAAACAGGATGCAGGACAGATACAGGGCCCAGGACAAACACAACACCAAGGCAGAGTCTGCAAGTCTGGCCATCCCTTAAATACACCAGTATCATCAGTTCCAGGTGTTAGCTGGCTGAAAGGTTGAGTCTCTGATTGCTGGGAGCACCCGCTGGCCAGCCCTGGTACTGCAGATCAAAAGGCAGGTGAGTCCCACCATTGCTGGCCAGTCCATTCCTGACAGTACCCCCCCCTCAAGGAGCGGCCTCAGGACGCTCCAAACAGTCCTAGCTGGGAAAAATGTTCCACCGCCCGGGTCTGGTAACTGGCGGGATATCAAAGACTGGCACACACCGGGCAGGACTCCGGGCAGGACTCCGGGCAGCGGTACACCGGGCAGAGGCACATCGGGCTGGACTCCGGGCAGAGGCACACCGGGCAGAGCCACACCGGGCAGAGGCACATCGGGCTGGACTCCGGGCAGAGGCACATCGGGCTGGACTCCGGGCAGAGGCACATCGGGCTGGACTCCGGGCAGAGGCACATCGGGCTGGACTCCGGGCAGAGGCACATCGGGCTGGACTCCGGGCAGAGGCACATCGGGCTGGACTCCGGGCAGAGGCACACCGGGCAGAGGCACATCGGGCTGGACTCCGGGCAGAGGCACATCGGGCAGGACTCCGGGCAGAGGCACATCGGGCAGGACTCCGGGCACAGGCACATCGGGCTACCGGGCGCGAAGCGGCAGGCAGCGGGCCACCGGGCGGAGCGGCAGGCACCGGGCCCCCGGGCGGGGCGGCAGGCCTCGGGCCCCCGGGCGGGGCGACAGGCCTCGGGCCCCCGGGCGGGGCGACAGGCCTCGGGCCCCCGGGCGGGGGCGACAGGCATCGGGCCCCCAGGCGGAACTACAGGTCTCGGGCCCTCAGGCGGAGCGGCGGGTGCCGGACCCCCAGATGGAGCGACAGGCCTCGGGCCCCCAGGCGGGGTGACAGGCATCGGGCCCCCAGGCGGGGCGACAGGCATCGGGCCCCCAGGCGGAGCGGCGGGCGCCGGACCCCCAGGCGGAGCGGCGGGCGCCGGACCCCCAGGCGGAACTACAGGTCTCGGGCCCTCAGGCGGAGCGGCGGGCGCCGGACCCCCGGGTGGAGCGACAGGTCTCGGGCCCTCAGGCGGAGCGGCGGGCGCCGGACCCCCAGGTGGAGCGACAGGTCTCGGGCCCCCAGGCGGAGCGACAGGTCTCAGGCCCTCAGGCGGAGCGGCGGGCGCCGGACCCCCAGGTGGAGCGATAGGTCTCGGGCCCTCAGGCGGACCCCCAGGTGGAGCGACAGGTCTCGGGCCCTCAGGCGGAGCGGCGGGCGCCGGACCCCCAGGTGGAGCGACAGGTCTCGGGCCCTCAGGCGGAGCGGCGGGCGCCGGACCCCCAGGTGGAGCGACAGGTCTCGGGCCCTCAGGCGGAGCGGCGGGCGCCGGACCCCCAGGCGGTGCGACAGGTCTCGGGCCCTCAGGCGGAGCGACAGGTCTCGGGCCCCCAGGCGGGGCGGCGGGCGCCGGACCCCCAGGTGGAGCGGCGGGCGCTACACCCCCAGGCGGAGCGACAGGTCTCGGGCCCCCAGGCGGAGCAGCGGGCACCGAGTCACCAGGCACGACAGTGGGCTCCGAGTCAACTGCATGACCGCTGGCACTAGGTCAGACATTGGATCGTCTGGCTGGACATCGGGCATCGGGTCACCAGGCATCAGGTCATTTGGCTCGACAGCGGGCACCGTGTCATCTGGCAAGGCAGTGGGCTCCAAGTCAACTGGTATGACCGCGGGCACTGGGTCAGACATTGGATCGTCTGACCGGACAGCGGGCATCGGGTCACCAGGCATCAGGTCATTTGGCTCGACCGCGGGCACCGCGTCATCTGGCAAGGCAGTGGGCTCCGAGTCAACTGGTATGACCGCGGGCACTGGGTCAGACATTGGATCGTCTGACTGGACAGCGGGCATCGGGTCACCAGGCATCAAGTCATTTGGCTTGACAGCGAGCACCGCGTCATCTGGCAAGGCAGTGGGTTCCGAGTCAACTGGCATGACCGCGGGCACTGGGGCAGACATTGAATCGTCTGGCTGGACAGCGGGCATCGGGTCACCAGGCATCAGGTCATTTGGCTCGACAGCGGGCACCGCGTCATCTGGCAAGGCAGTGGGCTCCGAGTCAACAGGCACGACAGTGGGCACCGGGTCATTAGGTACCGGATTGTCTGGCTCGACAGCAGGCATCGGGTCACCAGGTATGACAGCGGGCACTGGGTCACCAGGCATCAGGTCATTTGGCTTGCCAGCGGGCACCGCGTCATCTGGCAAGGCAGTGGGCACCGGTCACCAGGCATTGGATCGTCTGGCTCGACAGCGGGCATCGGGTCACCAGGTATGACAGCGGGCACTGGGTCACCAGGCATCAGGTCATTTGGCTCGCCAGCGGGCACCGCGTCATCTGGCAAGGCAGTGGGCACCGAGTCACCAGGTACGACAGCGGGCTCTGAGTCAATTGGCACGACAGCGGGCACCGGATCAGGTACCGGATCATCTGGATCAACAGCGGGCATCGAGTCAACTAGCCTAATAGGATCGTCAGGCTGGATCAGTTCATCATGCTGGGTAGAGGCATCAGGCTGAATGCCGGCGTCCGGCTGAGTAGAGGCTTCAGGCCGAGTAGAGGCTTCAGGCCGAGTAGAGGCATCAGGCCGAGTAGAGGCATCAGGCCGAGTAGAGGCTTCAGGCCGAGTAGAGCATCAGGCCGAGTAGAGGCTTCAGGCCGAGTAGAGGCATCAGGCCGAGTAGAGGCATCAGGCCGAGTAGAGGCATCAGGCCGAGTAGAGGCTTCAGGCCGAGTAGAGGCATCAGGCCGAGTAGAGGCATCAGGCCGAGTAGAGGCATCAGGCTGCATACAGGCATCAGGCTGAAGAGAGGCATCAGGCTGCGTACCGGCATCAGGCTGAAGAGAGGCATCAGGCTGCGTACAGGCATCAGGCCGAGTACAGGCATCAGGCTGAGTAGAGGCTTCAGGCTGAGTAGAGGCTTCAGGCTGAGTAGAGGCTCAGGCTGAACCACGGAAGGCAGGCTCACCGGTTTGGATACTGGCAGGATGGTATTGGTTGGAAAGAATTTTCGCTTTTTTCTGGTTTTAACTACTGGAGCACTGCAAGTAAACGCAGGTCTGCAAACGAATGGAGCAGCTGGAGACAGAGAAGAACTGGAGGATGGAACAGGAGAGGGAGCAGTTGCTACAGAGGGCTTTTTTACAGGGTTAAAGGCAGGATAGGTGCAGCGAGTGGGAACAGGGTACTGACATGCGGTAGATAGCCAAGTATACTGGGCTGTAACTGGAGGAGCTGTTGGGAATACAGGAGTAGAGTTAGAAGCAGGACTGGGTTTTTGTAAGCTGACTGAGGCTGGGTGCAACAAATCTGTCCATGTCTGCAGTATGGGTTGAACAAAGCTGAGCTTACACAAAGCCTGTCTGGTCAATGACTGCACTGCGTTTATACAATCTCTTAGTGTCTGTGGTGAACATGTGGAATAACGCTCCAGAAAGTAACCCACATCATCCTCTAATAACCACACCAGGGACTCTACCTGGTCTGCACTAAATGGTGGCAAAAATTCATCCCTGCATTCAGGGGAACCAGATGAAACCAACTCTGCACAAACCTCAATCAAAGGCTGCACCTCAGAGAACTCTGTGCCCTGATCTACTAGAACATGAGCGAGCCGTATACATTCTAGCAGTTCATCCCGGGTATACTCCTTCAGAGTTTGATAAGCATACTCCCTGTCATCAAACACTAGCAGATATAAATACGCAACCTCATCCAGATCCATCCTTCCCATCAACAAGCCAAGATGGCTTCCCTGTGCAGCCACTTCTGGTCAGGATTGGCTTTGGTGTAATGTCAGGGCTCCCAGGTATGACCAGAGGTGTGTGACTGAAGCAGGGAAACGCAGACTTCAGATATGTGATTAACAATGTAATTTATTAACACTAACAATACAAACATAAACGCAGTGCAATACTAAACATAATACAGTGCAAACAAACCCAACCAACCACCCACAGATAACAGTACATACAAGCAAGCGTCGTCAGGCAGGCCGAGTCAATATCAATTGGGCAGGTAGGTACAGGGGGAGCAAGCGGAGAATGGTCGGGGTCACAGGCCAGGTTCAGCAGGTAGCAAGCAGCGTAGTACAGAGGGTCAGGCAGAGGGATGGTCATGGTCACAAGCCAGGGATCAGAACAGGTAGCAAGCAGCGTAGTACAGAGGGTCAGGCAGAGGGATGGTCAGGGTCACAAGCCAGGGATCAGAACAGGTAGCAAAGGAACAGAAACAGGATGCAGGACAGATACAGGGCCCAGGACAAACACAACACCAAGGCAGAGTCTGCAAGTCTGGCCATCCCTTAAATACACCAGTATCATCAGTTCCAGGTGTTAGCTGGCTGAAAGGTTGAGTCTCTGATTGCTGGGAGCACCCGCTGGCCAGCCCTGGTACTGCAGATCAAAAGGCAGGTGAGTCCCACCATTGCTGGCCAGTCCATTCCTGACAGCTGCTTTTACAAAAAAGTAAGAAAGGGAGTCACCCGACTTTAGTTTTGTCGATTGATGTAAAAAAAGCCTTTGATAGGGTAGATTGGGGTTTTATGATCGACACATTGGAGGTCCTGGGAATTGGCCCTAAAATGGTACAATGGATAAAAAGGCTATATAGTTCTCCATCAACAGCAGTTAAGGTTAATGGTACAGTGTAACAGTCTTTTAAAATGTATAACGGAACTAGGCAGGGATGTCCACTCTCCCCTCTACTGTTTATTATATCCTTGGAACCTCTGTTAGCGACTGTATGAAGGAATATAGATATAAAGGGAATCTTGATAGGAGACATAGAACATAAGGTTGCAGCATATGCAGACGATATACTAGTTTACATTGTAAATCCCAGGGTAACTCTACCCAACTTAATTAATGTTTTAAAATTAACCCATCGAAGTCAGAGATATTAAATATTAATGTTCCGAGGACAGATAAACAGATACTACAGAATTCCTTTCCATTTGTATGGAGGGAAAAAGAATTGAGCTACTTAGGTGTAAATTTAACCCCTACCTTAAAAAATATATATCTGATATATTATATTTCATTAATAAATGAGAAAAATGAGGAACTGAGGAAAATATCAATAGGATCACTCTCGTGGATTGGTCCCATAAATATGTTAAAGATGGTGATAGTACCAAAAATCCTGTATAAATTTCATATGCTCCCAATATTTTTTGAGACTATTAAAAGGATGATACTTAAATACATATAGGTAAATAAAAAAAACAAATGTGAGGTTCTGTGTAAAGATATAATTAATGGAGGTTTAAATGCACCAGATTTTAGGAGATACTATTGTTCGGTGCTGATCTCATGAATAGCAGACTAGATATACAATTCACAGGGGAAAAGGTGGATACAGATAGAAAGCACATTGAGTGAATCAAAATTAGATAAGATTATTTGGCTTCCACAACAGTTTTGAACTCTCTCTGAAAACACAAGTATTTTAAACAGAATGTTTTTAGGATATGGGATAGAATCCACAAACAAAGGGGGTGAGAGTATAACTCACTGCTAATATCACTAGGGGGAACAGAATTTTTCCCTCTGGGGAAAGAAAATATTGCAGGATAATGGAGAGGATAAAATTGAAAAGTTTAGGAAAATCTGGGATAGATGGAAGGAATTTGAAACAACTAAGAGATTTTCAGAACTGATCAGTGTGTAAAAGTGGGGTAGAGACAAAATGGAAATGATGGTGTTTCTTTGGTAGGTAGGGAGGGGAGTGGTGTGACGAAGAAAGACCTCAGGAGTAAAATAGAGGAACAGGAGAAAAGAAGAAATAGAGGTGACTGGGGGGGTTGGTGGGATTTTGTATAATTTGAAATGGAGATTGTGGTATTTTTAATGTTTTAAAAAATGTGATGTATTTATAATATAAACTCAATAGAAATATAATAAAAAAAAAAGAATGTACAGGTTACAACTACATTCCTACTCTATTTTGCTACTGATTGTCAGGGACTGCGGGTCTCTCCGCGGTGCACAGGTCTGCACATGCGCAGATTGCCTAGGCGCACCAATGTGCAGGCACTAGGACCTGGGCGCCAACGGCGGCAATTGCGGCCGCGCATGCGCACTCGCGCACGCGTGGGGCGTGCGCCTGGCACCAATGACGGTGCAGGGCACACTATTTAAACTGGCCAGGCGGTGATCAGGTTGCCGCAAGGTCTAGTTCCTGTACCTGTGTTTCTGAAGTGCGTTCCCTGTTGCCGTTCCTACCTGTCCTGATTTGTGTTGACCTTCTCCTGCTCTGACCCCTGGCTCATCCCTGACTATTCCCGTTGCTGAACCTTGGCTCGTGACCCGGCTACTCTCTGTCTACTGCTTGGTACCTATCTGCCTCCTCCGTTACCGACCCGGCTAGTCTGACCACGCTCACTCCTGACTGTCATCCATCCATCCCGCTCGGGACCTGGACCTGTCAGCCTCTTCACATCAGGCTCACCCCTGGCACATATTCTCAGCAGGACCCCTCTACCACAGTTGGGTGCACTCAGGGGCCGTGGCCTGGTTTCAGTCTTGCACCAAGTCCATCCCCACCATCAGGGGCTCTGGTGAAAAAGGCAGACTGAGACTTAGACTCCACGTCTTGGGGAATCCCGTTCTGTGGATCACTAGAGATCCCGCCGGGCGGGTGTCTGACACTGATAGTGCTTAAACGCAAAAAAAAAAAGAAAGATAAAAAATTGAGTGTGTAAGCATCTCAAATATACCACTCAACACATGATAAAACCTTCCAGGCCTCTCTCCATGTGGCTGGCTGCCTTGTGAAAAGGTTATTTTTGTCCTGTTTGCAGATCTCAATTGCTGCTGAGATTACTGTATGGCCTTGGTTCGTTCAGGTATTCATCTGTTTCAACTGTATTTACATTTTTTCAGCTTCTGCGCCTGTAATCCCTTATGAAGCACATTACATTTAAGTAAAGGGCTGACTAATTAAGCAACTTTGACATTGATTATACTAAAAGAACACATACATTGATTTTTTGGGGAGGACAAATAATGATTTTTGTTTTGGCAATATTGTCTTGGAAAATTATTTTCTACAAAATAAAAAAAAAAGGTTTGCTACCTTGCTAAAAATAACATTGTTACAACACTTAATTGAGGATGCTTGCAATCACTGGTTGCATGCATCAGTTACACATTAGTACATCAGCTTTCTATTTATTTTTATATACAGTGCATTGAGAAAGTATTCAAACCCCTTTCACTTTTTTCATTGTTGTTATCTTGCATCCTGATACTACACTTGTTTAAATTCATTTTTTTCTCATTAACCTACAGTCAGTACCCCATAATGACGTAGCTAAAACAGAATTTTAGAAATGTTTATTAAAAATAAAAAAATTAAATATCACATTGGCATAAGTATTCAGACCCTTTGCAACAAATGCAACTTGAAATATAGCTCAGGTGCCTACTATTTCTTTTGATCGCTGCTGAGATGTTTCTA